CAAGCCTATTATGATATCCCACTCCAAAGTCCATATGATCGGACTGAAGGAAATACAATTCAGAAGGAAGAAAAGCAAGGTTATAAAAGATCCCGATTAAAAAAACAGCTTCCATAACACAAGTCATTGAATATCAAAATTAACAATCAACATGGTGATCATTCAAAACGTTCGTATTGGCGCTTTCACTACCGTAGAAAAAAATCGGAATTGTTATGCCGGAACACGGATATCAATTATTAAAGTTCGTGGCCGAATGTGTAAATGAGAATAAAAATACATTCATTATTGAGATTGTGACAACAATGGTTGCCCCAAGACGAAGGAATCAGCCACTGGACGCAGAACAACATGATGCTAAAACAACGAACCAAAGTGATTGGCCTCGCGATGTTACGATCGCCCAAAACACGTACGACACACGGCAGTGTATTCTCACTTCTTCTCATCTGTTATTCCCTCAATTAGCATGAAAATGCGAACATGAATTCATACTTGAATAAAAGGAACAAACATTGATATTTTGATTTCAAGTGTTCAATAACTAGCACGGATCATAAAAAGAAATTATAAGGCCGGTTTTATTTTTAGTTAACCACGATAGAAAATTGAAATCGCAACCATAAAATATTTTCTGAACCTAGCCATCACTGACCTGAGATATGCTTAATCTACATAACGATACCTACAATGAATAAATAGCTTTAAGATACAATTTTCATTTATTGGTAATTTGATTTAAAAGTGGCCTACAATAGTCTAAACATCATATGTTATTTTTTCGATCTCATTCAGTTATCTGACTTCAATTATAATAAAAAGTTACCTTTTAAAGGACCATTGATTTATCTCAGTTATTCACAAATATTTATTTATTTATTTATTTCAAATGGCAGGCGTTATGATAGGTATCATTAACCCTTTAGTTGACTTCAGGCTTCACAGAAAGGAAGATAAACAGTAAAGTGGCAAAAAGTCGAGAGGAGGACAGAATAATGATTCACAGACGTAAAAGAGACAGACAGACACAAAGGTAGAAAAAGGTGAGGTGAGTACTGTGAATTATTCGAATATGAAATGCAGTGGGGTCTTGGTAGTTTGAAGTCAGAAGTCAACTGCCGAATAATAGACTTTTTTGCCGTATGAGTATACGTTGCCCAGGGTGCACCACGTGGAGGTAAGTCTGTCGCACACCCCTTATTCACAAATATAAAGTATGTGATCCTCCTTTCTACTATAAAGCAAAAATTATTGAATTAAAATTGTTTAAAGGGTTGGACAACTGCATTGCTTTAAACATTTGAATATATGAACTTAGCTATCACAAGACATATGGAGTGGGGATATGCCTTCACTATCAACATCTTATTTGGAAGCGGAGGGGTGTGTGCGATAGACTTACCTCCACGTGGTGCACCCTGGACAGCGTGCGATAGACTTACCTCCACGTGGTGCACCCTGGGCAACTTTCAACCCTTGCTGGTTTTCTAAACAATTATTCTTAAGAATACGATAGACTTACCTCCACGTGGTGCACCCTGGGCAACGTGCTCTCATACGGCAAAAAAGTCTTTCAGCCGGCAGTTGACTTCTCACATCGAACTACCATGATCCCACTGTATGTCATATTCGACTACTTTCACAGTACTCACCTCACCTTTTTCCACCTTTGGGGTGAATCATTTAAAGAATGGGCAGATGGCTGAATGGGTGTAACAGAATGCAACCGTTAATCAGACGCAGGTAAGACCAATAAGCACTACAACCATATGGAGGCTGTGTATCACAAGTCAGTGAATCAATCTATATTCTAAAATACGAATTAGTCTCTGATGGAAGAACATACTTTTAGTCTTGCTGTCAAAAGATTTATTTCCTAATTCTCAACTAATTACATTGCAATTCTCATTAATTCGAAATTCTTGAAGAGAATCCCAAAGGATGTGGTAATTACTGTGAATCAAGTTATGTCGAATAAGTTTTTATTCGGTTTTCACCTTTAACTTGTGTGCTTACTAAGTAGGTATTTCAAGATTCATGAGCAGATTAAATGGGCAAGATCTTGATCACGAATTCACACGAAAAAGTGAATTGACATTTCTGGTAAATCAATGAATCATCAAGGAATGGAATGATTGTCCGGATCAAAACGGGGATGAATGCTTCAACATTAACTTACTGGAAATGACGTGAAAACTTCTGGTTTTGAGCTCTATCTACGCCTGGTTAACTCTCATCAACTTCGACTAATCAAATTGTCCTGTATCGCTTTATCTTCGAGCCACAATATTAAAAACGTAAGATACTATCCTAATGTACAGTAAGTGACTTTATGGGGCCATAAACCATCCAACCAACTATTCATAAATATGAGACATTTCACACAGGAATGTTGTTTGCAACCAACATTTAAATTTAGATGAGGCAAAAATGTAATATAAAGCGATACAGAAAAATAAAGTGAAAGGGAGCAGATCACCAGAAGCAACTTTGAATCGATAAAAAGTGACTCAGAATAAATAACGCCGATGTAACAAGTTTAATCTCCAGTACCCTTGCCCAAGTGTCTCAAGCAAGCTGCCTTTAACTTTCCACCTCTCCATATTTGTCACAATTTTTTCAATGTTCTAGTGCGTTCTCGTGATCCTATTGGGCATTCTTGATAGTTGCATACACTCTCCAGCCCCATGTGAATTCAGCATCTTAGATTAACATAAACACTGCTTGAAAAGGAATTTGTCGTAATGCTACCTTCCACTCTTCCTTTGGGGTTTGGAAAGAGAGGAGTGAGATCACGTAAACATATAACAGGATGTGATTGCTTAAAAATATAATGATGTTTATCCAGTAGCAATTGATGAAAAATGTAGCCCACATGTTAGGTGGCATTTAGAAACATAGATCAATCTTTCAATATAAATAATCAAGTATTCAGTAATTACCAACATGCACCACATATACAAATCACCATGGACTGTTTATATTCAACAGTGGAATTGTTTACATTTAAAAGGAGCACCTATTGCTCAGTTGGGAGGTTGGGGTAAACTTCACTTTCGATTATACTTGTTCACTGATAGTCTGTTGGGGTTACAGCATGCTTACTTCGAAAGTTCTTATATTTCTCGTTTACCTAGTGCCGGCAGAATGCCGAATTTTACTTACTTAAAGGGAGATAGACAAAGCATGGTTCACCTGGAAATTACAACGCCATCCAAATTATGAGAATAAAGAAGATGAAGAATATAGAAAATATATTTTTTCTATCAATCTGCATTACATCAAGGGTCAGCACAAACGCTATAAGGCTGGACTGGAAAGTTACATGACTAAATTGAACCAATTTGCTAATCTGACATTTTTGGAGTTTGCTGATCGTTTTCTAGGAACAAAACCTCAAAAGATGGCTTTGGGAAAGCCTGCAAAGCCATGGATATCATCTTTTGCCTTAAAAGACCTTCCAGATACCGTTGATTGGAGAGATAAGAATCTTGTTACTGAAATCAAGAATCAGGTATGCCAAATCTCTAACTCACTTTGTCATAAATTTAAACTAGTAATTTCTGTGTTTTAATGTTCTGTTGTTAGGGTGTCTTACGTTAAAGTGGGCAAAGAGCTAGATATTCTTTGTTGATGTCATTAACAATTTTTTTGGTATCAAATTGTGACTTCGTTAGTCCGAAATACTTTAAGCATGGAGCTAAGTTCTGTGTGCCAATCGAATAACGTTAACTTAAATCCTTTCCATGAAAAGTTCTCTCCCTTCTCATCTATATTGAAATTTTTTGAGAATATTCTAGGATTGGTAGCTGGAATTAAATCATAAGCCAATCAATTAACTTTATCAACCTAAGAATGCCACTATTGAGAGGTGTTGAACTCACTAAGGTTAACTTGAGATTAAAACGGTATTTTTCCTTTTTGGAGCGCTAATATGAATCACTTAAAAACAATCACTTGAAGTCATTGATCACATACATGCACACATATGTGCATAGTTATTTATTTGTTTATTTATATGTAACCGATACTGTTCGAACTTCAGTGAGGCTTTAGTTACTTTATGGTAACCTTCACGGTTAGTAATCTTGAAGAAAAATAGAGGAAACTAAGTTGTCAAAAGGCTTGACTCGAGACATTTGAAGCACAACCTTGGTAACAGCGATTCTTATCAACCCACTTTCGAGTTGAATATGATACTTCGAATGGAAAGTTTGGGGCACCGAGTTACTTTCTCAGTGCATCTGAGTTGCCATTTCCTTGTAGTGCGGTGACTCGACTTGTTTATGGGGTTCTTTCACACTTCCAGGAAAATCATCGTGCGTTACGTTGATGGTTTGAAAACTAACGTTCCCAATAACCCACCTACAGCTGAACTCAAGGAGGCTCCTTTACACACTCAAAACCTCACTCATACAATCAATTGAAAGAAGAAGGAGAGAATGAAAGGGAGATATTCAAGACTGTGGAAAAAGTCCTTTAATCGTGTACAATAGAACTACATGCCATTGCTGTTAACGATAACCTTCAAAATATTATGATTTTAAACACATGGCAGAAGCGGTTAACGATATTACCCGCTGTGGCAGATTTGAGAGGCACGGCCTTTGAATATGAATCCACCAGATTATTATGGGAGGTTCCTTGAGTAGGTCCAGCGTGGCGTAGGTCAAAGCAAGGCCAATTAACCTTTGTTTGAGAACACATAATTGGATGTGGCGGATAATCGTGTGGCCTTTTCCTTATCCTCTCTGGAATACTCTGTAACCGCTATTGGAATTGTTCTAAGTGCACTGGAAATTCGTTCAACAAGCACACTGACCAAAGCACTTCAAAGGCTTGATCATGAGTTCTGTAAGGGGTGAGCATAAAACAACCATTCTGTTTCCTAGACCAAACATTTGATTTACCTGGTGATCAACGTGACATGATTTCTGTACTTTGTGTTACTTGTGCACAATTGGCCTTAAGACTATCCATACTGGAGTAACTTGAGGTGTCGAGAATTGCGTGGAGTGTTTGTGATTCGCTGCTTCTGTGGAATCTCACTGATGAGCACAGCTTTGTGTTAACATTGGCAGTATTAGCAGGGATGGCAACGGAAGGCATCAGAGCAGACAATGGAAATTGTGGTGAATTTAATGAGAAAAGTAGGAGCCGAATTGTTAGAAGCATCATGATAATAACTATTCGCAGTTTTGTCAAGAAGAATCTTTATTTCTACTAATAAGTTCTCAAAGATTTTATCGAATGTTCGATAACTTGTCGTTGCTTGAAAAGCCGAATATCTTTTGATTTTTACATTTTAGAAATTGTCATAAATAGTAACTATCTTGTAAGCCTCCAAAAGTAACATTGAATTCTGCAAACTTCTGCGATTGATATATTAAACATAGATCTAAAGCAATTACTTAACATTTCTTCTAAGTAAAGCCACCTGATTTCATTACCAAATGTGGCATCGGGTAGGTGACAGTTTACTTATTAAATCATTGTCAATTACATGATGACATTTTCATTTACCATCATTCAGGAAATTTGTTGTGAATGGGAAAATTTTAAATTTTGCGGAATTATTTCAGTAGGGCTCAACATCAAATTTCTTCCACTTTAACAGCCTTAATTATGCATTTTGATTCTATCCAAGATATCGACGGTTTGAAAATCGCAGTTGCACTTTTGAATGATCGACGCACAAAGTAAGCGGAAACTTTAACTTCTTATTCAATTCGAATCTTCCATCATCTCTCTTGAGAAGTTATTCGATGCGAAAGAAGTTGGGAATTCGGACTGGAAAATATTTGAGCCTGCATCTGAGTCAACTTTCCATCGGCGACTTTGCATCATTTGCTCCATTAATAAATCATAATTTATTGATTCCATTAAATTAGAGATTACAAAATTTGAACTCTAGTTGGCTCTGCTGTGTTGAAGCGTGTTAGTCTATTGTTAGAATAATAATGATCAACATCCAAATGGTTAATAGAACGTTGACATGATTCCATTCAACAAAAA